ATGGCCCCGCAGCCCCTCTAGCATGTCCCAGGCTCTGCCATGTGCCCCTGCGTTCTCTCTGGTCACCCCTTCTCCTTCTCCCTACCTCTGCCTACCTAATTTCTAGCCAATCTTCCAGGTTTAGATAGGTTCTCCATATACTGTTGGTTAAAACACGAACTCTGGAAACAATCTGGAGTTTGAGCCTCCCCTTTGCCACTCACTAGCTGTGCGATCTTAACACAGCAGCTGGGAGATCCCAGTTGTGGCTAGCTGTGTGGCCTTGGCTAAGTTACCTAACCTCTCTGTGCCTCAGCCTTATCATCTCTAAAATAATATGAGTGCCTACGTGTCATGCTTTACATGGATGGGGTGGGGATCCCATGGGGTAACAAAGGTCGGTTCCTGGCACGTGGTGAGTGTACAGAAAGCACTGGCTATCTAGAGGGGACACATCCATTCCCTGATAAATGAAAGCTGCCCCGACTCCCGGTAGCAGTGCCTCTTACAGTGGCATCTCCTACTGGAGAGGCTCGGCTCACATCCTCTCCCTTTGCTCCGAGCTTTCCAGATCAGGGCCCAGGAGACTGGGCCCTGATCTGCTCCCCAGTTGCTGACTTCCGTTAGTGCATCTCCACGCTTTGATCCTGAATTCTCAGGGGTCAGGATCTCTCTTCTGATCTTCCTGCAAAGTGATTTATCTGATAACAATTCTAAGTGCTCCAGCCTGACACAGAGCCCCTCATGCTCCTGGCCACCCTCCTCTCTGTGCCATTTACCCCAAGCCCTGACCGCACTGACTTCCTCCCTGTTCCCCTAAGTTGCCCACCCTGCATACACCAGGTCTCTGCACGGGGTGGCCCCTAGTGCCCCAAATGCCAGCTCTGGCCTCTTCTCTGCTGGGAAAACTCCTCTACTCCTATTCATTATAGGCCACATCCGCTCCTCATGAAGCCTTGTCCCAACTCCAAGGCTCTGCCCTCTTTGCTCAGGGCCCTGGCTCAAGTGTTTTCAACCTTATCGAAGGTCCCCGGCGTGGGTCAATCTGATTGAGCTGCACGGAGGACATGGATTCCTACAGACAGCTTCCAGTCCCTCGCCCGCCACTCCCATGCCTTACTGTATCTGTGTGCTCAGCCCCAGCACTCCTGGGAGAACGCAGCAGCACTCGCTCCCCTCCCACCCTCCCTCCCTCCTGGACTGTACCATTGTCTTGGCCATCATCTACCATACCTCCCATCCCCATCTTTGTCAACTCAAAGATAGAAAAAAAAAAAAAAATCACCGATTTGCTTACAGATCCTACACCCCCATTTTAAGAGGGAAAATAATCCTCTTAGTTGTGACACAGACCAGGGACACTCTCCGTTGCCATGGTGATTCTTTGATATGGCCCTCTTGCAGATTCAAAATGCCTGGACTTTTCTGAGTCTGGCTTCCCCCCAAACAAGGACCCTGGCCAGACGGCCTGCACGGCCTCCCTCCAGGAAGGAAAAAGTGCATCTCTGCGCTGGCTGTTAGAGGGGAGGGTCATCTCCCAGGGTCAGGTCCCTGTCAGGGCAGGAGAGCAGCATATATACCGACCCTGTATTTAGCTGCACAACCTTCCAGTGAGGTAACTCCATGGTCAGCGAGCCCCAGGCTGATGGTCCAGGAGGCCTGCTTCTTTCAGAGGAAAATCACGCATCTTGTTACGCACGGCCTATTTCTCTGGAGCAAAGCTATATGGAGCCCAAGGTCCCTGTGGCTTTGCCTCGGTCACGTGCGCACACACACGTCTCCTCTAACAAACGGCAGGTAAGTGCGGGGTTGTGGAGTTTCTCTCCCATGACAAGAACACATTCTGCTCCCCCTCCCCCACCTGTCCCCCATTCCCATGAGACTCTCACACAGGTTCATTCCTTTAAAAGTTTATTTCTGGTGAATTAAAAAAAAATAATTTATGCGACCAGATCAATAAAGACATTAGGACACAGGGCAGAGCTTAACTTTCCTGTTTGCTTCTAGATTTTGCAGCCAGGTAAGAAGGTGGCTGAGGGAAACCCAGCCTCATGCTCTGTGGAACCAGGAGGTGCCAACGCTGACAGGGTGACTGAGACGTGGTGGCTTATTGGAGGGCTGGGAGGAAGGCCAGATCCCAATCTCTTTTCCAGAAAAGAAATGTCTCTCCATCGTTTTTTTTTCTTTTTCTTTTTTTTCAACAGAAGCTCTGTCACGTGCCTGTTCCTAATGACCATCAACAGCAAGCAGATGCTCAGGGAGATGGAGCAGTAGTCTCAGGGACTTGGGGACCTTATGGGGGAAGACACCTTCCCCCTGAGGCCACCTACTGAGGCCAACACCTGGAAGAGACCTTGGGGATTTGGTCCCCGAACCCCTAGAACAGCTGTTAAACTCTTCGAGTTTCTGAATGCTCACTTCTTCACCTGAAGGGAACGTTTGCCCCTAACTTCTTGGCTCCCCTCGGAGTCTCAGAGGTGGCTACTCCCTTGATTGGCAGAGGGGACATTTTCTCCAGGGGTCCGAGAACTGAACATGCTCATAGTCCGTGCTGGGGCTTCAAGGCCAGAACCCCCAGAGGCCCTGCCACAGTACAGAACCTCAGAGCTGGGGGAGATGTGGGGGTTCGCCACTGAGGAGGCAAATACCTGTCCCTGCAGCCTGGTTCCCTTTGGCTCAGGGATGGCTTTGGTGGTGGGGTTCACTCTCCTGGGGCGTGGTGAATTTTGGTATTTATACATGGATAAATGAGGAATGGGCTTTGGTTGCAAGAAACTCACGGACTGATGAAACACCCAGAAAGCACAGAAGGAAAGCCTCTGAGAAGCCCGAAGAGTTTTCCACAATAGAGCATTTGCTGTGGTTCAGGTGGTTCCTTTGTGGGTGGCCAGAGGGCCCAGGACACCTGACTGTGCAGCTGCCCAGGCCTCGTGGTACCGCTCACGCTGACTACCCCCACCACACCTGCTGGGACACCAGCAGAGTTTGAGCAAGGGTCCTTAACTGAATGCGGCTTCAAGCATCCTTACCCAAACCTTCTGAAAGGCAGCACCAAGCAAAATCTAAACCCCCACATCACTGAGCGGTTCTGAGGTCAGTTCTGGTTCCTTTTTTGACCTTCCGAGACAGAAATTTCTGGACACGAAGCTCAGCCGGAGGCTGCAAGGCTGCTCCTCTTCCTTGACAGGGAGAGAAGCATTTCTATGCTCCAGGCTGGGACAATTTTTACCTTGAAACCATCCTCTTGTTAGATGCTCCTAAATGAAAGCTCACACCCCACATGCAACTCCTATCTGCATTACCTCTTTTTGAAGAGCCAGAAGCCTCTGTCATGCCATTTGGGGGTCACGTGCTTATGAAATAACACAGTCTTTCAACCATTTGATGAAATGGGAAAAGAGCAAGGCAGCTGTGAGGCCATTCACATACACGTATGCAGTGTGGACAAGGAAAAAACCCGCACCGCGCCTGGCGATACCAGGAACCAGCTTCTCCAAGCTCCTAGCAGAAGAACCCTCGAGACAGGCGCTTATGCATACAGGTCCTATAAAAATAAATTTCAATCCACGCCTGTTCTCTCAAGTTGTCAAGGACAGGTCTTTCCACTGGCCTATCTCCGGAGGACTTTATGTATCAAAAGCAATAGAGATTTTCAACAACTCTGGGGTAGAGAGAACTCACTGCCCATCCCTGCCTGGCTCCTAGGATGCCAGGAAGTGACATGGGACATGGACAGGGGAGAAGCGCATACAGAGTCTGGAAGAAAATATGGTGAGGGTGGGCCATGGAGGGGCTTTCCAGGTCCTGCTACACAAGGCCATTAACACACCTTGACTCTGAGCCTTCCGGTTTGAGAATGGCCTCCAAAAGCACCCTGTGTCCACCCGTGGAATGTCTCTCGGGGAGACCCCCACCCCTTGTCCATGGGTCCCTCAGTTTTCATTCTGAGGGGTGCGGGGCTACAGCCCAGAGCAGGGATGAAGGGTTGTACTAGCTATATTCAGGGAGAGCCCAGAGTGCGCTAGATTCTCCCTGAGAGGCCAGGGCTCTGCTGCTCCCTTCTCTTCAGAGCTGGGGCCCCCATCTCCTCCAGTGCCCTATATCCTCTCTCCACTTGCTTGTTATTTGCACTGTATTTCCTCTAACTTCCTACTTGTCTGGAAAAGAAATTCTCTGTGTAGCACTCGGAAGTCTCTCATATATATGGGACATGGTCACAAGTTTCATTAAAATTTACAACTATGACATGGGCTAGAGTCTACTAAAGCAGGCCCATGTTGGAGGACCAGAGCACCCACTTTTACCCTGGGTGGAATCCAGAAGCCATACTGTGGATGAGACAGGAGATGGGGCACCACATTACTACAGGGCAGTGGAGAATGGCTGTCTTCAAAACCCACGTGCCTCCATCCCACTGCCTTCCCCTCAGGCGCCTCCATCCCCACTGTCTTCCCCTCAAGAATTCTCTCAAAAACACTTGCTACCTGGCATTAGGATCTATTCCACAAGCCATTCATCCTTCATGAACTGTCTTGATTAAAGGCTCAGATGAAAGGTAAATTCAAGATCTTACAATGCCCTTTTAAGGAAAGGGCTCTGAAAGGAGAACAAAAAAGAGAGAAGGGGGGGTGAGCGAAATCCTCAAGGGTGGCGTCCAGAAGACAGACTCTGGAAATACCACATGCTTTTACTTGTAAGACGCACTGGTCAGCACAACCATCTTGTTAAAGGTTCACATGGATTGTAGGATGCATCCAGAGTTTAAGCATACAGAGACACAGAAAAAAGGTCCATTTTGGGTTGCAGGACAGGTGACGGATTTTGAAAGAGATGCCTTGCAATCCTGAAATCTAACCATTTTGGGAAAGCAGAGGAGCCAATGGAGGACTGGGAAGGGGGAGTCAGCACAGAATGGCTTTATTCTAGCTGAATCCCCACCTCGAATGCTTCGGAGGACTGTCACCAGGAGGCGGCAGGTTTGTGTGGGCGGACTTGTATGAACGGAAACAGCTCTGCAGAGGAAGGAGCCCACACATTTTATTACAGCCCCTGCTCACCAAGCCCTGGCAGTCCCCTGTACTCCTGCCCTTTGGATTACGGAGGAAAAAAAAAATCATCGTTCGATTTTCTGAATACAAGACGGGTCTAGATTGTACAAGGAGCTTACACACTGAGGCAAGAAAGCGTGCAAATGGGAGCAGGAATTCTCCACCCTCTGGGGAAGCCAGTGCTTGAGACACAGAAGGACCTAAGTTGCCCTCCTGGAGTCCACACTGGTTTACGTTTCTGGCTTTTATTTACTGTGTCCAGCTCCAACTTCCATCTTCTCCTGATAGGGAGAATAACATCTAGGACATCAGTGATTTTCCCCAAGCCATTCTTTTTTTCCTCTTAAGATTTCACAGAAGGCCCAGGAGTGGGGCCTAGAGAAGGACCGACAAAAAGCAAAAGTGTCTGAGAACGACATAATACTGACTTCTCTTTTTTGGTAACAGTTCACGAAACGTGTGTCCCTCTCTCCTGAGATACGGTGAGGCATGAGGGGAGGTGGCGAAGGAGCTGTGGGTGGGACACTGTACCGTGTGACATCACGATCATGCAGCCGGTGCCCTACAGGACAGAGACGTGAGAATGAGCACTTGGCTCTGGGTTGGCCCCAGGGGGAGGCAGGCAGTTTCCAGGTAAGTGCCCAGCCTCTCAGGAACACTGTCTGTCCAGTTCTTGCAGGGCTCTCCCCTGGGGCACGCCATCTTGGTTCTGGCCTTATCCTTCATCCTCCCTCAGCTCAGTGGGTAGGAATTTATACTGTTGTTGGCGGATCTGGGCCAGTTTTTTCCTTGCTTCTTCCAGTTCGCGTTCTTTTTTCAACATTTCCTCCTGAGCGGCAATGATCTAGAAGGAAAGCAACAAGCTGGATGGATCTAAAGCCTTCCAGGAAATCACCCTCCCCAACTCCATTGCCTGTCCCATGAGCTCCCACAGCCTCCACTTTAGGATGACACAGCAAGATACCGGGAGTAAGTAAGTATCTTAGCTCTGGAGACCAGCTTCTGGGCCATATTCTGGGTTTTGAGACCAATGACCCACGAAAATAAGCTGACTCCTGGCCACTGATTTAATAGCACACATCTACTGCACCCCTACTATGCATCAGGTGACGGTGTAAAGCACTTCACGTGGAATATTCTATCGTCTTCCTGGCAACACGGTGAAGTCGTCTCTATCAAGGGTCCCATTTTTCCAATGAGGAAACTGAAGCTGAGAGACGTGGGTCCACTTCCCTGAACACCCAGGTGGTGGAGCAGGACCTGGCCAAGTGTTCTTAAATCTAAAGCTGGAGTCCTTAACCATGTGACAGTGTTCATATATTTGTTTCATGCTTCTAAGATTTGATCTTAGGAATATTAGTTAATAGATATCAGGTGAAGAAGGTTAAGTTTGTGTTCAAGAAAGCAGATAGATTTCCTTCCTGTGGGCCCTTTGGGAGCCCTTCCTAGGCTCATGATCACTGTGATGATCTGGAGTCTGAGGTGGAGGTGAAGAGGGCAGGATTTCCCACACTTATTTGATCAGCGACCCTTCTTTGTGGAACTTCTCATGGAACTAGTGTATCAAGAAAGAGAGTCTGAAAGAAATGCTTCCCCCTCTCTCTGCCTGCCACTCCCTTTACTTGTGCGCTCTCTCTGTCAAATAAATAAATAAAATCTTAAAAAATAAATCTTAAAAAAAAAAAAAAGAAAGAAAACCGTTCTTTTTTTAGCACATACCCTCCCCAATGTCCATCACTCAGCCACGCCATCTCTCCGGCCCCCCTCCCCTCCAGCAAGCAAAGAAAACCATTCTTGTATAATGGATTTATATCAACACATACCCCAAACTGCAGGCTTAATTTCCTCAAGTTTGCTCCTCACTACCATGCTCAAGAATGTAATCCTTATAGGCCAGAGGCCCGTTTATCCTTATATAAGTTCTGTTATGGGGTTACCATTCATTCTCTCTGTAGGGCCAACTACCTGGAGTGGGGTAGTAGCTCCAAATCCATCATTTTATTTAAACGATAATACTATTGTCTTCCAACTTCTCTTCTTCCCCTTTTCTATAACAGAATCCCTGATCTGGGCTGGGCACAGGGCTCTTCAGGAAAGAATACTACATTTCCCAGCATCTTTTGCAGCTGGGTTGGTTGGGCATGTGACTAAGGCCTGACCAATGGCACGTGAGAGGAAGCGAGGGTGGTTACTGACCCATGTTGAGCCAACTGGCCAAGGCAACATCTCAGGGATGGTCGGGTAATAAGGCAGATGGAGCCTGGGGCTCAGATACAAAGGAATCAGCACACCACTGATAGACTGCTTACACCCAGACTATTTCACAAAGCAGAAATATCTCCATCCTGTTTAAGCTATTGGTATTTTGTATCTCTGTTAGAACACCATGCCCATCTCTGGAGTAAACATGTCTGGATTTAATCACAAACCTGAGCAATGCCCCCTACAAACTTTGTTTTCACTACAACATCATCATCATCAGCTTTGCCAAATGCTGCTTTCTGGGCCGCACGAACAAGATTATCTGAGGCTCTTTTCACAGCATTTCCTGCTGCCTGGAGAGGGAGGAAAAAACATATATTATATCATTAGAAACAGCCAATTTGGATTCAGCAAGAACAGACATGAAAGTACAGTTCATGGAACTCTGAATCAATTTATCTTCCTATCATCCAATGATAATACAGAATTTCTCTGTCGTTAGACTCCATATGTCTGTCTAGCCGTCCACCGATTTCACCAACACTGGCACCTACCTAACCTTAGGTCATTCACAGAGAAATGAGATCCAGTTCCTGGCTCCCAAGGAACACAGATTTCTGAGGGGGGATTTTACTTATGAAAACAGATGACTGTACCAGTGTGAAATGTGTGTTAACAGAAGCATGCCCAGGGCTCATCTCCTTGGTCTAGAACACTACCTCCCTCTGCCCCAACCAATTAAGACAAACGCAAAGTCTTGGCTCAGACAGCACTTTCTCTGTCTGCTGTGGTCTTACCCACAGCTCCCCACAGCGCTCCCAGAGTGCTCTGTGCACGCTTCTGTGTGGCCTCTCCCACACCTGTATCCCTCTCCCTCTTGGACAGTGAGTAACTCAGGGGCAGAGGCCATGTCTTTTGTCTTTGCCTCCCTAGCAGCTGGCACAGTGGGTGCCCGGGGCTGGCGCCCACTGAATGCTCCTTGAGGGAATGAAGGGTAGGAAAGCACAGCCTCACCCTGCACGGGGGTGCTGGGAGCCCCACAGTAACTAGGGCCCCCATAGACAGGTATGTTTTTAGAGGCACAGCAGGGCTCCAGGCCATTGCTAGAGACAGGTAAAGAAAAGCTTTCCAATGCGAAGTCTAGATTTTTCGTAAGAGCTATAGCCCAAAATGGCTTACTCTTAATGAGCATGAAGCATGGCTCTGGGGACTTGTCGTCTGCCCCCTGAGGTTTGAAATTTTCTTTTAACGGTGGTCCAGGCTTCATTAAGCCTCCCATAGTCCTTGCCCAGTCCCCCTCAGAGTCAAGGACTGTGCACGGGGATGAGCCATCAGAAAGTTGAGTTCTTGTCAAAGTGACTAGCTCATCTGGTGGGTGATTTAAAGTGACCCATGGAGACCATGAGGGCTTGCACTAGAAGGGAAGGAAATGCCAATTAATATATGACAAGTTCATTCTCAAAATAGCTTTATGAGGTCAGAGGTCACCGTTGTAGTTACCTGATACAGCAAATGGGTTGAGTTATTTCTCTGAGACCCTGCAGCTAGTATGTTACAGAGCGGGGATTTGGACACAGATCAGGGTGGTCCCGGAGAACCTCTGGGTCACAGCAAGGGGCTCAGAGGTGACACTGCAGCACCCAGTTACATTGGTAACGATGACAAGGAGCGCTACCGTGCTTTGCCCGTGTAAGTCCTCGGGACTCATACAAGTATGTTCACATCTCTTGACCTTCATAAGAGCCAGTTTGGGCATCTCTATCATTATTCCACGGCTGAGGCGGATAAAGGCCCAGAGAGCTGAGTGATCTGTGTTAAGATCATGAACTTAATACATGGCAGAGGCAGGACCTGAACCCAGGTCTCCCTTAACTCAGGATGTTTTCCCCAGAAGTGTTCCCCAAGCCCCCAAGCCACATATTCACTGACATGTAACTCCCCATTTCCCCCCTGGGTTTATCCCAGGAGTTGAATTTTGGTAAGGAGGGAGACTCAGGAGGACCGAGCATCAGAAACACACTTCTGGACTTTCAAAATGAAATGAGAGTCCCAAATGTCGGTGAAATTGTCCAAACATTTCTGCCATTTATGTTTTTATTCATGACATATAAAATTTTTTTCATCCATATAGATAGTCTGCATTCTAACACTTCTAATATCTAGGAAATCTAAAAAATTGGAAACAAAATGTCCACAGTATAAGGAAATTCTGGCATAATCAGGTGATGTAGTATCATGCAATCATCAAAAATGAGACTCATGGAGCATGGACCAGTTAGCTTTACATAGAGAAATTATGAAGCTTTTTCTTCAAATAAAAAGCTATGTATGATAAAACGTCAAGTGGAAAAAAAGCAGAATGTCTCTTGCTATGATGACAAGCAGACAGTTATTTTGTATAGACATAGAAAGAGGAAGAGAAAAAAAAATGGTAACATTTGACATGTGAAGAGGTTGAGCCTCTGTGATTTTTTTTTCATCCAAACACTTCCTTCTCTGTGATTAAAACAATCAGGAAAACTCATGTGCACTGGGAGGGATTCGATTATAACTTTCATCATGAGCACATTCTCTGGGCTCTGGGAAACTTCAGCCACAGTCTTCTAGAAATTTCTCAGTCCTTTTTCTCCTTTCTTTCACAAACAGGGCATGAGGGCCCCTACTGGAATAGGTGCCACCTCAGGTGTGAGAGATGTGCAGATAAAGACATGGTACCTGCACCTAAGAAATTCATAGCCTTCTCAAAGGCTGTTCTAAAGATAAACATGGCGGTCCCCAGTGACAGGAGCCATAAGAGCGGTCTGGCCAAGTACTCTGGCAGGAGAGAGGAGGGAACAACTGCTCAACACACAGCAGTCAGGGAGGGCTTCCCAGAAGAGGTGACTCTGGAGATGAGTCACAAAGAACAAGCAGGAGATCACCAGGTGGGGCTGGTGGCGAGGGCCAGGACATTCTGGGTGAGCGAGGGCCCCAAGGCATGAGACCAGAGGCACACATGGAGAATGTCAGTTTGCTGGGGCAGGTGTAGGATGCATGGCTGTACTGAGTAGAAAATGAGAAACGTGGGACAGAGTTGCTGATGGAAGGCCTGGTGGGTCATGCCAAGGAAGTGAGACTGTCCCCTTTGGCGACACTTACCCGCTCCAACAGGAGTATTTTCCCACCAGCATCAGTGACCATTACCTGTAGCCGCCTCATGGCCTCTGAGTCCTGGTCGGCCTTCACCTTGCAGGCCACAAGCAGCTGAGCCGTGGAAGCAGCGACCTGCTTGGCAGATGAGATGAGCTTCTCCTCACTGGCATGTCCCTGAACGGAGGCATTGGCCGCCTCACAGAGACTGCTGGTTGCAGCTGCCACCATCCGGGCCTGGGGACAGTCAGTAGAGAAGTGACCCATGGCCCAAACCTCCCTCCGGGAATCCAAAAAGCAAACGGGAAGGAAGGAAAAGGTGACTCACGGCAGAAATCAGCCCCTGGGACCACTGTCCATCATCGGCAGCATTGGCGGGGATGGAGCCCACCTAGAGAGTGGAGGGTAGAAATCTGTAATGAGCCCTGGGAGGCGCAGGGGGACCTGCAGCCTCCCAGGCTCTACCTCACCCTGGAACCAGAGAGGAAAACATCTCATCAGACAGACAGCACTAACACCATTTCTGTCCCTCCAAGTCTGTTCCTGCACATCCTGGCTGGGGTCCCTCTGGGCCCCGGGGTCTTCATCTGAAACACTCAGAATGGCCACCATTTTGTTGCTACGTAGAGTGTTTCTGGGCCAGCTGCTCAGGAATGATGGATCAGGGCTGTCCTCCCATGCTTCTTTCCTCTGCTGACCTTTCTCCATTTCACACGTAGGAGCCATGGAGGCCTCTTCTTTCAAGGGCCCAGGGAAACTTATATCTCTCCTGATCACTCACCCTAAAGCCACATTGTGACTTTCTGGCAGGTGATGGGGGTGGGGGGGTTGGGGAAAGCAGCTGGTGCCTTTCCTTCAGCGTAGTTGATGGCAGACCCTTGCCTTAAGGAAATACAGACTATTTTGTCAGGGGTCAGGAGAGAAGTAGGAAGCTGGACGTTAAGATGATCTCTGTTTCTATTTAGAAATTACATCAACAAGTGAAACATTTTCTGTCCAGATGCAGAGGGTACAGCTTTGGGAGGGAAAACCTTTACATGGTGGGAGGTGCCTGCAGAGGTCAGAGGGAGTACCTCAATTTGAATATGGAATTAGGGATCTGTCAATTATTAGGTGCCATACCAAGGCTCAATGAACATCAGATAAAACCCCAAGGTCCTGTCTGTAAGCCTATAGTTCACTCTAGTCCTGTGGAACCACCTTTACCAACCTTCTAAATGCCTGAATATATTCAACAAATGTATAAGCAAGTTAGAGTCTCTTAGAACCTAGCAATTTGGCTCACAGTTGGCCCTTTATCAAGGTACTGAAATTTTTAGGTAGGATATTCTTCTCAATGATCCATTTTTAGTCTTTACATACTGATTGGTCAACAAGTACTTAGGTGAGGTCAGCCCTCTGTTGCATCTACAGGGCATAACGGAGAAGTTATGCAGACTGCATGCCAGTGGAGAGACAAACATAGATATTTTATATATATAATAACAAACATACACACGTCATATATATTATATATATAATAGCAAACAATACAGCACACAATGGCTTAGAAAGAGGAGCCGTGGTACGCGGGTTGGATTGGGACAAACTTTAGCTCACAGGAGACTTCATGGAGGAAGATGGATGGCCACTGGTTGGACATAACTTCCTGTCCGTATTACAAGTTGTGAGGTCAAGGCACAATCGTATTTGTCTATTTGTATGTGGACGGCAAAAGCCTTTTAATATCAAACAGAAGTATTTGACAATTACGGTGACCAAACCCCAAACCCACAGCCTGACAGGATTTCTGTAGTGCCTCCAGATCTGAGAGGCTCTCCACAAGATGCAGTTTGGATGGAGTCAAATTCCATGGTGTATGGGAACAACACGCGGAATATTTTAAACTGGGAGACCCTCCCATACCCAGCATTAGTCTAATATACTATTAATCCTCGGGTCACCGAAAGAGAACTATGCTTTCATGCTAATGCAGATGAAATGGATGACTGGGGGTCAGGCCCATCAAAGAAATCTCAGGTTTTAAAACCAGACTGGTCTTTTGAACAACGGGCTCAGGAAAATGCTAAGGGCAGAGTTGGACAGCATTTCGCCAGAGCCCCGAAGAACGGACGGAGTCGTTGGAGATGGAAAACTGTATTATGCCGCCCCTGACTCTGGTGCTCCCAGAGCCATCCACTAGGAAAATATGATAGTTTACATCTTTAAATAGCTTCACATACAGTGGGACTATAAATGTCTTGTTCAGGGCCTGATCACTGCCTGGAACGGGATGCTTTCTCTAACAAGAAGGAGATAATTGGCCCAGAAGCCAAACCCTTCATTCTGGATGTTAGGTTTAAGCAGAGATTTCAGTGGGGCAGACATGGGCAATTCAGGGAGGGAAGGCTCAGCAATGGTTGCCCGGGGGGCCAGGCCACAGGCCTTCCCACCTTCTCTTTGGTCCTCAGAGACTCACACTGTCCGAATGTCCCAGCAGCTGGCCAGCGCGGCTCACCCACCTTTCCTTGGGCCACCAGCTCCCTCTGGGCTGCCGAGGCCGACTTGACCAGGGCACTTGTGGCGGCAGCAATGGACTTAGCAGCTTCCAAAATCTGTTCTTCAAAGTCCAGGGTCTCATCTGCTTGCTAGAACAGAAGAAAATGACATCACATGCCGTTCGCATCCACGAAGGGCGCTTTTTGCCAAACTACTTACTGCTTGGTCACCTGGCTCTTCATCCGTTTATGACTTTTTTGTTGACAAACCACACCCAGGTAGAAAGGCCAGAGCTGGCAAAACGCCTCTCCATCTGCTGCCTCCCACTACCTCAATTCTAAAAGGTACAAGCTGCTAGCGGTGGCATTCGACACCAATTTCCAGTCAGGAAATTCCAAGACAGACTATTTTTCTAGACCAGAGTTTTTAAACAGACACAAATTCACTGTGAATAAAATATGCTCAAATGGTCCTGTTGGCATCAATAACGAAAATTTAAATAATCCCTCATCAAAGCCCAAGGAGTGGGTGGTGGTACACTCTTCCAGAGCCTAAAGCTCAAAAATTGGGTTGAAGAAAGGAAAGGTGGCTAGGAGTTGTGAAAAGCCTTATTTTTCTCGTATTTGTAAAAACAAACGTGACAAAGCATTTGCCATTTCTGTGGCTGAGCAGGGAGAGTTCTGTACCAACCACAGATCACCAGAGGCGGGAAGGACACTGAGGCGACATGACGTGGAGGTAGAGTCCCCCGGAAGTCTAGGGCCCAGCTCCACCTGGGGAAGGACACTGACCACCACATGCAGGTGCTGTCAGGCTGTGAGGGCTCTGCTCCAAGTTCACCAGCACTGTGCCCCGTGCCAGCAGAACAAGCCGGGAGGCTGGAGAGCAGCGCTGGTAAGCGCGGCAAGTGCAAGGACCTTGGTCCTGGGCTGGCTGGGATGCAGACTCACCATCTGGGGCGGTCAGACTAGATGCCCTCCAGGTCCCTTCAGCACTCACGTTGTATGAACCTAAGCAGGGTTAAGTTCCCCTTTGATTATAAAAGGTTGAAGATGGGGCTATTATCTTTCAGGCATTGCAACGATGGTCAGCTAGAGCAATACTTTTCTTTGTGTGCCAAAAAATAGATAAACTTTACCCTCTGAACCAATTTTAAGTGGACCATTCAGTGGCATTAAGTACATTCACAATGTTGTACAACAGCTATGTTTTTAACAGCAGCTACTATGTGCCAAGTTCTTTGTTAGGCATGTCCAGGTATGTTCCTTGTTTAATTCTTACCAAGCAAGAGGAAAACAAATATTCTACTGTAGAGTCATTCTCATATTCACAGTGAGAAAAGTGAGGCTCAGGGAGGTAGAGTGCTGTGACATGGTCATATGGCGACATGAATTCAGACTCTAAACCAGATCTAAACCTCAGCCTCTCTGTTCCATGAGGATATGTTTTTACTAGCCTGCTTGCCCGTGGGGCATCAGGGAGGACCAACTTTGTAGCAGAGGCTCGGAGTTGGCCACTAATGGTTCCATGCGAAACATCAGGCGGGATGGATACATAGATACATTTTCCCCCCAGTTCCTATTCCTTACTGCCGCATCTTGAACTATGAGAGATGCCAAGCTCATTTTTGTTTTCACAACTCCAGTGTTATCAAAATAACATTTCAGGGCCCATCTAGGGACTCTGGCAAATGATGCCAGCATTTTAGAAGTCTGTGGACAGAAGCCATATATTCTTTCTTATCTGACAAATTCTTGCTCTAGGAGCATTCAGGACAGAAACGGATTCAGTTGCAGTGGATTCATTCTGGAGGAGGGAGCTTATAGGACTGGTGGAGTATAAAATGTGGTTACTGAAATAGAAAAACAACTCATTATAAGACACTCTGGCATAAAAGATGCTATTATACATAGGCTCCAAGGAAACTGCATTAGGCGAACTTGAATTAAGAGCCTTTTTGGAAAGTTGTTCTACAAAAGAAACTCAAGCGTGTAACAGATTAAGGTACCAGGGGAAACCAGGTAAGTTCTGAACCCATCAGGGGTCCCTTCCACTGGGGCAGAGGAAACGGAAGCCCATGGTGGCTTCTTTTTTTTTTTTTTTTTTTTTTTTAAGATTTTTATTTATTTATTTGTCAGAGAGATAGAGAGAGTACAGGCAGGCAGAGTGGCAGGCAGAGGCAGAGGGAGAAACAGGCTCCCTGCAGAGTAAGGAGCCCTATGTGGGACTCGATCCCAGGGCGCTGGGATCATGACCTGAGCCGAAGGTAGCCACTTAACCAACTGAGCCACCCAGGCATCCCTCATGGTGGCTTCTTAATGTGTCCCAGATCCTTGTCTCTGGTGGGCTCCAAGGTGTGTGGAGTACCCCATCAGATTTCTGATCTCCCAAATTTTAGGATCCACAAAAATGGGACTTTCTTAAAATTAAGTGCTAACTCTAAGCATGGGGTAGATCTAATAGAATCAACTTGTTCCTACCAATTTGACAGGCCTCGCCCACGTCTTCCGTTGCCCTGAAGGTTCCCCCCGCCCCCCGCTAGAACACATACTTGAAATAGATACTCAGTTTGGAAATATTTTTGACACCCACAGATTCTTCTTGGAATGGCAACTGGTATAAATGTCCGCTGGTGAATTTTTGTTTTTTGTTCCATCACATCTCTATGCTTTAAAAAGGACATGGCAGAAAGCCGCATCTCTGGGGGATATTTGCTCTGACTAAAAAGCACCAAGAAGGGCTGAATAAAGCTGAATGGGATGGCTCTAGGGGCGGAGGGCTAATGTTTAGACACCGTAGGCCAGGTTTAAAACTAAGACAAAACACCCACCTCTCTCTCCTGCTGGAAATAAATGTCAACACCAGGTGTCTCCTCATGCCATACACAACTTATAGCCTAAAAGATGGGATTCTCCCTGAGCCAAGGAGACTCGGAAATGTCGAGGTGTCCCTGTCAGGGGTGCCCCCCTGCTTGGTTCCCACCAGCACATGCCATGGCCTCTGGAAGGAGGACGGTAACAGCTAAAAAGGTGCTCCACGGCATTGCAGAAGAGGAGAGAAATGGAATGGGTTGGCTTTCAAAGGACTTTCCTACAGAAAAGGATCACAATGAAACTGCAGGATTTGTTAACAGAAGAAGCCCCACTGTAGCTGGGAGATGGGGAACAAAGAGGATAGTAACGTGGAGCTTCCACAAGGAGACCCAGAAGTATCCAGAGACCCAGGGCGCCAAGAACTTAAGAAAACGCTCTTATTAAGTGGGCTAATGAACAGACAGCCCTCCCTCACAATCACCCAAGGATCTGGTTCAAGATGCGGATTGTATCTCAACAGGTCTGAGGCGGGGCCTGGGAATCTTCCTTTCTGATAAAGGTGGGCTGCTCCACGGGAAATGCTGGCCTGGGTGAAGGAAAACAGACCCCGGCTAACCCAAGCCTACCAGCCTGTCCTCTCTTCCAGGGCACGGACTGTGTTTTACCCAACGGATGTGGTCTCTCCAGCACACAATCAGGCAGTGTAGACTACATGATAAATGTTTGCCGAATGAATGTATCCATTCAGAAGGAGTCTCGGGAGTTCTAGAGTTCAGCCAGGGGGCAATTTACATGCTTGCAGCAAGAGAAACGCAGCGAGTAAGCATCCACATTAGGAACTGTCCATTCTGAGTCCCTTGGGGAGGAAGGCACGAGCATCAAGGCACTGGCTCCTGCGCTGTTTAAGGCCACGGGCCGTTACTTGTATGCTCTGCCTGCACCCCGCAACTGCATCCACAGCCGGCTGTGACACGTCCCCAGGTGTCCACAGAGGTAAACGGCACTCCCAGCATTGTGCAAGGGGGCTCTCTTAGCAAAGCAGCACCGGGGGAAAGAGTCCTAAATGTACCAACTAAGACTCTGCTCTGCTTCATGAACGTGTTAGCTACGGCCTCCGAGGGCTGAATCTGTCCTCTCCTCCCCTGTTCAGTGACCTTTCCCCTGCTCCCCTCCGCTGGGAGAAGGCCACTGGCCCCTTCACCACCCGCTTTCGGAAGCTGTCGTTGTTGGACTGCCCACTAAGCTCCTGCAGAGGATGGACTTAGCCTCACCTTGGCTTTCTGGTAGCTGCGAGAAAGGCCCAGGCACTCTTTTGCTGGTATTCTTGCTCTGATCTGTCTAATGTCTCAGGAGCTTGAGTTCCACTGGGGTAGGAGTGGCAGGGGGACAGACGGAAGGGAGAGGGGAGGTCGTTCCTCATTTATATTTTGCCTTTTGGCCTTTTAGGGATTCTGAGGACATAATCTTTGCAGTAATTCATTCATTTCCTGAACCTGCCTTCCTTCCTACCTCTCTGATGGGGGTGCTATAGGTAAATTATAAATATACAGAAAGCAATACTGACCCACAGTAAATGCTCAGTAACTCCTCGCAACTAATTTTATTATTACTTCCCTCACTACATATATTCCTTGTGGTTTTATTTTTTACTTTTTTTTTTCTTATGTTATGTTAGTCACCATACAGTATATCATTAGTTTTTGATGTAGTGTTCCATGGTTCATTACTGGCTTGTAACACCCAGTGCTCATTACAACTCTTATGGTTTTAAAAACAGTTTTTTAGACTTCGGGCTAAGCTAGTTTTTCTCTCTCAGGATCATTTTTGACTCATAATTTGGAGAAAGGTTCTAACTGCCATTTCTGATGATAGCCTAAAATTATCATAAATAAAAGCCATAAACCAATTTGAACAGAATATCAACTAATACACGCTACAGACTGGAGCTGCTTCCAGCTTCTCCCTCGACACCGAGACAGGAGATGGGCCCTCTGGGCTCTAAGTCAGCGACCTGCCCGTTCTGACCACGTGACCTTAAGCCGTCGCTGCCTTTCTCCAGGGATCCATCAGGTTTCTGTTAGTAGCTTAAGGAGGAACCTCAACTCTCCCAGTCCGTTAGTTCGGATGTGTTACAATTCCAAATGAAACCTTTCTTCATTAAGAAGGTGCTGGCTAAAATAACCAGGCACTACTTTTTCTCTGCCTTCTTCTCTCGGTCTCCTCTGTGGAGAGGCCCTGTCTCCCTCCTGCAGCATCTTTGCCAACCTCCTCTCTAACAGATTCTGGGGCATATACCGCAGAGAAGAAGAATGCTTCTGTCTGTGGTCCTTTCACTT